AATAGCAGATTTGTTTGCACTAAAGTTTGTTTTTGAGTATAAGTAATTTAATTAATTTCAAAAATACTTTATCCCCAAAAAGGGAAATGAAATGTTGTCATAACTCACATTATTCACATTTCTTCAAAGAGTCTTGGATGGTGACGCACTGGGCAGGACGGATCTCCGGTAGCAGTCAACGTTTCAACAAATCTGAAGAGGCTTCTGACTGAAGCCTCTGCAGTTTCATGACTCTCATGTCGCGCTAGCAATATTTTTACAGCAACTTGTCCTGGATTATACCATCAGTTGTTGGTCGAACTGCTAATCCAGCTCATTTGCTTTTCCCGCTCCTCTTTAAATCTGTCTGGCCGGGTGGTTAGAGATGCTGAAGCCTCATTTCCAACTCTTCTGGGATTTGGGGTCGTAGTTCAGGCATTATTCAAACTAACCAGCTGCTGTTGCCACAGTTACACATCAGAACAACTGTCCAAAGGTTTAAAAAAAAAAGAGTAAGAGAAAACGTTTTCCACGCTGCAGAGCATCCAAAACCAGAGGGAGTAATTATCCAGACATGTCATGCCTGAAACAAATATATAAAAAAAGAACTAAAGTCTACAAAAAGAACAAATCAGAAGTCACATAACAGCGCTACGTCAACCTGCTGCCACCATGGATGTGGTTTTTAGATTTCCTCTCAGTCTCAGTCAGGTGGTGGAATGAATATTGTCACCTCCTATTCTTTTGAAGGCTGTTTTCGTGCCTCTGTTGTGACTTTGTGTTTGACGTTCAGAGGCTGCACACCGGCACTTTTAGATGCTGATTGGTTGGAAGGGGCTCGCTCAGATCTCCGTTTTCTGTCTTCGGGCATTTCGATTGTCATCAAGAATATACAGCCCAACTCGGTCAAAGTCGTTATTCCTGCACTTTTGGCAGCGAGCGCTACTGAATGAATGACTGCCTGCAAATTAGACAGCTGATTGGGTTTCTCCCTCTGTTTAATTATCACAGAGTAAAATAGACTAGTAAACAATGTTTATAAGAACTCAGTATTTACTTGTTGCTCCTACGCTATTAACCAGCGAGTGCGTGCCCTTAATTAGACATTTCCGCCCACACCATCAACTGCCAGGCGACTGAACTGGCGGCCATTAATTGCACTCCATTTTTTTTTTTTTTTTTTTTGCAGCAGCTTCCCATTGTGGGTAAAAATACATGAGCCTTTGGAAGGTAAATACATCGTTTCTGTAAGTCGTTTCTGTAAGTGGAACCGCTTGCTGTTGCGTTTCTGTGAAGACGCTTTGAAAGATTTGTACAAGCCTTGCTTTGTTGCCAAAGCCGCGATGACGAGAGCCCGCCGAGTGAAGGCAACTCCACAGAGAGCCGCTTTGATCTCGCTTCTTGTAAAAGTAAATGCGATATCTGTCACAAAACGAGCCACTGAAGCCGTGTTTAGAGAGAGTGAGCACGTAAAGATGACTTTTGAAACACTCCAGCCATGGAGTCGGGTGGTTTCGTGTTTGTGCCAGTTCCCTTTGACTGACTTAAATGAGGGAAAACGCGAGTTGAATTCAGAGGCTGCCTACGACTTTATACATCTTACAACCGGGGTTAAATATAGATATATATATGTTTGTTATAGTTTAGTTTTTTGTCGTAACTTTTTGGGTAACACTTTATTTGAAGGGGGGTGAATAAGACTGACATGACACTTTCATTAACATGACATATCACATGTCATGAACATGACATGTAATATGTCATAAATGAATATTTATGACTGTTGAATATTTATGACTGTTGTCATAAAGCGTGATTCGGTAAATTATGACACTTTTAATACAAAGTTGACATTATTCAAAATGTATTTGTTATGACAACTTGACATTAACCAATAAATCATTACTGTTTAAACTTTACCTTTAATAACATAAAGTTATCTAATTTTTAAAGTGCAATCAGTAATACTTTTATAACACTGTTATAAATTTGTTTTCTCCCAATTTTCACTGTCGCCATTTTGTGGACTACCTAAGCGCCACCAGCAGGAGCATGGAGTGCCCTAATTTGACAACAGTTGACGTAAACTGCACGTGTGTGGGGGGGAGGGGGGTAGTCAATTTCTAATCAGTTCAAAAGGCTAATAAATACATTCATAAACGCAAAAATAGCGGATATTATCAAGTTAAAAAAAAAATTCAGTTAACAAAAATTCCCATTTCAGTTATTTTATTTTTCATTTAGCTATAATAACCTGGAATCCATCACTGTAGCAAAATAACCTAAGAAGCCATTTATTACAATAAGTTGTTCTGAAGGATACAGATTTTGAAATATCTTTATTGTAATAATTTTCTTATGCTCCATTTCTTTTTCTCTTTGACCTACTTATGTACGTAACAATGTGCTCTTGACATATGTTGATGTTTATTTGACGTGGTGTACATAAGACTGACATGACGTTGTCATAAACGTGATATAGCACCTGTCATGAAGATGAGGGAGTTTTCATAAAAGTTTACGACTGTAGTCATGAAGTCTCATTCGGTAAATGATGACACTTTTATTGCAAAATTACATTAAAAGTCTATTAAAATTGTCAATTTTGCATTAAAAGTGTCATTATTTACCGAATGACACGTTGCGACAACGGTTGTAAACATTCATGAAAACTCCTTCATCTTCATGACAGGTGTTATGTCATGTTTATGACAGCGTCATAAACATGTGTCAAATAAAGTGTTACCGATGTTTATAATGGGATGTAGAAGCAATTCTCAATCTTTTTACAACCTTGTGACCAACAGGTCTTACAACTCCTTAATACAGAAATCCATCTGAATTTTGTTGTCTGATTTCCAGTTCCTAGTTTTTGTAAATGTTTGATCTGTAAATACTAATTTTGGATGAATCAGAATTGTCTTTTAGAACAGCCAACTAAAAATAGCCTACATTGTAAGACTATGTTGTAATCAGTTTTCCTGCCATATGCGTTGTGGCAACTTGTGTGTAACCAAATAAGTGCAGAGTTTACTTTTTTTCTTTGTCGCATATTAAATGTGCGGTCAGCAGGGTTGTGGCATTAATGGAACTACAGGCTTCATCTGTATGTGTTCTTCAGAGAGTTTTGTTTGTTAGCTTAGATATGCAATTAAGCTAGCTTAGATTATGCTCAGAACAGCTACACCGCAGTGACTGCCGGCTGTCTCGGGTATGATAACTCACAAACAGCGACAGGAAGAAAATTAACAGTCCCGAGACACCTGAGGGAGGTCAGCCGTGACTGCTGCCAGTGATACGGCCAAATGAAACCTCCCACCAGGTGTCACACAGTTGATGACAAGAGAGAGGCCAGCTCTTCTTAGCAGCTCTCTATATTCTGCTTTAGCGGCTTTTCTGGAGCCAGAGCTCTGAATAATTCAACTAAGCAGAAGAGGACTGTTGGGGCAGCAGAGGAGTTATGGGGTGAAGATGAAACTCAAGGCTTAAGTACCAGAAAATGCACTTTTTTTTACGTCAGAATTGCCTCGCATGGCATGTTCAAAGGGTCGAGTGAGCTTATGGCGAAGATTTGTTCTATAAGGGTTGGAGTCACTGTGTTGATACATATGGCAGAATAAGTAGGAGGGTCTGTTTGTGGAATACTGCCCCCTTTTCCTTTATCGACACCAACGTCTTCATGAGCCTCTGGCTTCAGTCTAGTTTAATATGTCTAGAATGACAGCACAAATATTTAACTTTACCGACAGGAGCCCATTTGGCACTGGCTGTGTTATTATTTGATTTCAGGTGATATTTGTTTGCTCATTAAAAGCAATTGCTGTAAAGTCAACAACTCAATGCAGTTTATCGTTCACTGAGGCTACAAGATGCAGAGTCTGACACAATGCAGTTGGGTGGATTTAACTTGAGATTTTTTTTACCAACGGGGATAGTAAGCCGACCCTGACAGTGTTGCATTATGACTAGGGAAGAGTCATATGAGACGAGTTGAGCAACAATGCGATTCAAAATGCTTAGCATGATGAAATCATAAAACAATAAAAAAAAAAAGCCAAGAACATTACATAACCCTGGTAAAATAAAGGAACTAAATTAAAGGTTGCAATAAAGACTGCAATTAATGATGTTTCATTTATTATTGATCAAAGGTACTGCTAAACAAATGGGTTTTTAGCCTTGATTTAAAGGAACTCAGCGTTCCAGCACTTTTGCAGCTTTCTGGAAGTTTGTTCCAGATTAGAAGAGCATAAAAGCTGAATGCTGCTTCTCCATGTTTAGTTCTGACTCTGGGGATGCAGAAGCAGAAGACCAGAGTGGTCTGGAAGGTTGATGCAACATGTTTTCATATCAACGGGTTTGTAGAACTGGGTAATTTTCTCTAGGTTGGTATATTGATTGAGACCAGCATTGACGCCGGACTTGGTACCGGACTGTACAAAACCAGAATGTTCTCAGTAAAGAAGATGACAAATTCATTGCAAGTCCTCACAGTGTGAAGTTTGGATGGCACAGTTACAGGAGGATTTGTTAATCTCTCAACCGTGGCAAAACAAGTCTACCGATAATAGTTTGCTGTTACTATTTACCAAGTTTTGTTATTGATTTCAGAAGAGAACGATTCTGTTGCATGTTTCCCTTGTAATTTATATCTGTGAAGCTTCTCTACCAGGATAAGAAGTAAACTGGAGTATGGAACTGAATTTGATTTGTACTTAGTGCATCTCACAAAGTACATTGAAATAACATTTGTTGTGAATTAGCAATAAACAAACTGAAATGAATTTTTTTTTTTTTACAAGTTTGACATTAATAAAACTTTGTGCAGGAAATTTAACTTTTGGCAAAATCTGGTGGTTACAACATATTTTTTTTCTTTAGCCTGGCTAAAGAATGTTAATTCACATGAATCAGTGAAAAAGAGATGATACACATGTACCCCGTGGACATTTAAATACATGTTGAGTTCAAAGCGTTTATGGGCCTTCTTGTTCAACATCGTCGTTTTTATTTGTTTTCAGGTGTCCCTGGTTGATGAAGGTAATCTCTCCCGCTGTGCCTCTCTACAATGGCCTGGTCTTCCTCTTCGTCTTGGCCAACTTCAGCATGGCAACCTTCATGGACCCTGGTATTTACCCCCGAGGTTTGTGCTTAACTCACACACCTGACCTGACTTCCTTCCCACATTCATCATTCAAATCTCCGATAGCCACCTGCACTGCTGCAGATGAAAATGAGCGTTTCCATCCCCGTTAGTCCTTGAGGAGAAAAGTTTATCGGGGGCCACATTTATCAAAGCGCTGAGCCGCGGTACACGGTGTTTCACTGCAATGTGCTCAGAAATGATAAGGACCTGTCAGGAGGAGGTTATCATTTTCCTCTTCACAAAGGGGGAATAATCAGCAGGTTGTAAAGACTGTTCCCGTCTCTTCCTGTCACATTCTGTTGGCAGCCCAAATTAAATCATAATAATTAAAACGTTGGCACACAAAACTCTCAAAAAAGAAAAAAAATCTAGTCTACATTGTCAAAGTGTGTGTGAAAGCTTGATAGCATGAGCATCTTCCAAATGTTCTACTTTTTTTTTTTTTTGTTTTTTGCATTTTTATTGCCTCTGGGGGGAAATGCATCTTTTGGATTGAAAATGGTTTCCAGGACTTTAAATAGCTTCAGTGTGAAAAGATTTATTTCTACTCTTATTAATCGTTCAGATGAAGGCTGACTTTTCTCATTTAAATAGTCAAAACAAGTGCAGACCGTTTCTATTACACCCTGTAGTGATAAAGAAAAAGCATTTCTACCTAATTCAAGATAATGTTTCAAGTAAAGTTGCAATAAAATGTAAAATTGTATATATAGACGTTTACTAACAGTTGTTAAAGCAACAATTTTCTTCTGTGTATGAATTCAATCCATTATTTTTAAACCTTATGTCTCTGCTACACTCACAGCGTCCTCCCAGCAAAAACAGCAAAGTCAGTTACCAGTCAGTAAATGGCAAGAGAGCGTTTGCAAATTTTTATACAGAATAGCTCATAAAATAAAGCTCAAGTAAAAACTGTTTTACTTAAGCATCGGCCAGTTATAGGTATCAAGGTAAAGCGAGGTTTTGAAAAGTCACAGCTTCAATCAGACACCAGAGAAAAGATAGTTCATTCTTCCTCTGAGCAGAGCACGTAGTTTACAGTCATGCTCCCTCATTCCCACCTACTGCTGGTGAGCTGCAGGTCTGGCTTACAAAACAGATAAATCCATCTGCTTCTACATTTTTCCGCTTCTGAAAAACGGTGAATCATTTTGGTGAAAGTGTAACACTGTCTCAAGGCCAGAGTTATGAGCAATGAGTCACATGTCGGTAAAACAGCTAACTGCAGGCTACCTAGCTATAGCATAGCTGATTAACTAGTTCGTTGTACATCTGTTACAGCAGAAATATTTAGTGTTTCACTCAAAAAGCCCTGGCAAATCACAAATATATATTTTAATCTTGACTTCTTTTTTTTTTAAAGTCTCCCGCAGGACATTTACTACCAGCCACGCCTCATTTCGTACACGGGAGGATATTTTGTACATTTTTTTGATAACCAGTGATTTAGATTTTTTTTTTCCTATAAATTTGTTCGCAGTTTGCTCCTGTGGAAGTGTAGTTGTATCCAGTAAATAAACTAACAGGAAGTTGCTTATTTTAGTTAGACCAATGTTTCTGGATTCTGGAGTCATCTGGCCCACACCAGAATCAGACCCACATTAATTTGATAAAAGATGTAATATGAAGTTTCCAACAAATAATATACATTCAAACTAAATTCTACCTGGTATTTGGGGAAATTAACATAAATTGTAAAAATAAACAGCTAACCAGAAAAATAAATAAAGTGAAGTTGCCAGCGACATTTGTTTACAGATTTTAAAAGGAAGTACAAAGAGACAAAACGAACAGTTGAGTACAAAATAAGGGTTCAGGTTTGTGACTGGGTATCAGCTGAAAGAATTAATTAACTCTTTACTAAAATTAGCTTTTAAAACAGAAATCTATTTTGTGTTTCTAGCTTCTCTGTTATCAAAGCAGTTTCTAATAAAACCACCATAGACCTTAGGGAAGAAACAATTACTACATGTAATAAAAATTATACAACGTAACAAGCTTAATAATGAGACAGAAAATTGGAATATGAATGATACTGTTAATAAACTCCCTGAGCTATGGATAAATAGAAAAGGCTCTGTCAGTAAGCAGCTAGCTAGTTGGCTAGCTAGTTGCGAGCCAACAACTGCAAACAAATGTGCAACACACGCGGTGAAGAGGACAATTACAGCGTTTATGCATACAGGATGTTATTTGTTGCTAATAGGTTTGTCATCTTTTAAGAGGATGAATTTCCCTCATTTCATGTCAGTTGACTCATGTTTTCCAGAGATAATCAACTGAAGCTGCTGCTTTAGCTGAGATTCACATGAGCAATATTTCATCGACCGCTGCTTAAAAATCCTCAAAAACGCACAACCTAAACCATACACTGAGCCTAATTCGTAGTTGTTAGGCTCAGACTTTATATGTATGCGAATGCAGTTTAGATAAATTAAGACAGTTACTCATGATATTTAAAATGTAGTTATACAAATATACACATTTTGTGTAACAGGGTGGAAAAAACGAAGCACTATGAAACCACAAATATCGTGTTTGACTGAATAAACGCTGTAAAGTCTTTGAAAATGTAGTAAATGGGCCATTATTTTTGCCTATTTGCATTAAAATTTGTAGAAGAGAAGCAGAGAGAGAAGATGCTCTCTCCCTGTTAAAATCTATTTAAGTCGACTTGAGAGCCATTATAACACAGCTAATCTCTTTCTGTGGAACTGCTTATTTCTGTGCTCTGCTTTTGTTTCGCTCCCCCCCCTCTCTCTCTCTCACTTTTATTTTACTTGCCTTGGTCCACTTTCTGCCACAGAACCTACCTAGCTCTCCCCGCAGTTATTATTGTACTGTGAAATTATTTTCTCAAGTTCAGGCTCCAGTTGAATGTACCCTTTGATCAGGTGAAAGACTTTTTTCCCCATTTTCTGCTGCAGCTAGAAAATAAACACTTTGTGCTTTCAGTGACAAGGTTAGGTTTTACATAAACGGAACCAAAAAAAAAATAAAAAATGCAATAAAAGACGGTTGAAGGTTGCGGTTTTAGTTACCGTTCTCAGCAAAGAGTGAAACGAATTCGTGGAGAACTCGCACACAGAAAAATAAAGCCAAGTTATTCGCTGAGTCACAACATTCCCATTAATCTGTGTTAATGTTCGCAGCAGACTGAATAGGTCACGTCCACAGAAACGTTCGCTTCTCTCAGTGTCTTTGCGCTTGCCGGAGGCAGTCGACAGCAGGGACGAGCTTCGTTTAAGGTGCTTCCCCGTTGTCCCCGTCAGATGGAATCATAAATCAAAACCGCGCGTCTGTCCGTACGTCTGCATTCGTCACACATGAGTGAGCTAAATGATTTTACTCCTGATCCGTCACGGGCATCTCTGCACTCTTGATAACGTCACTGTGTGCGTGAACGTGTGTGTGTGTGTGTGTGTGTGTGTGTGTGTGTGTGTGTGTCTCGTAGCTGACGAGGATGAGGACAAGGACGACGATTTCCGGGCGCCCCTTTACAAAAACGTGGAGATCAAAGGCATTCAGGTCCGGATGAAGTGGTGTGCCACCTGCCACTTCTACAGGCCGCCCCGCTGCTCACACTGCAGCGTCTGCGACAACTGTGTGGAGGTGTGTATGTGGGGACACAAACGCGCACCACCTCAGCGCACGTGCAGCCTAAACGTGTGCCAAGGTTAGACTGGAAGTTAGACTAATAACAGCATATCACAAATATCAGAAATGACTGATTCAGCAGCCCTGTGAAACATAACGCGTGTTTTCACCTAAAACGTGTTTGGATATTGGTTTATCTCGCAAGAACACAAAGAAATTGGCAAGAGAGCAGCGGTAAGTGACCATAGCTGCCGGCATGAATAGAAGCTCTTGGCCATTTCATCCACATAACGGTGCTATCAGCATCAGCTTTTAAAATCCTATCTTGCTGTTGCACCAAATAAATAAATTCAGAGAGATATGCACATCTACTCACAGCGTATCGGAACGTCACACATTCTTTTGGGGTTGGTAGATGGAATTTCTTATCATTAAATTAAGAGAAATGTTTGAATGTTTGCCAAAGGAATGTCACAACCACATGTTTACATTCACTATATAGATTGACACATAATTTTTCCTCACTGTCTCACATTGAAGTAAATGGCTAAATTGTTTGATTTGAGAGGCTTTTCTTTTATCTGTTAAAGGGGAAGTATTATGTCACAACATGTTATTCTCTCGCCAAAAACATACCTGGAGCATTGCCTCGATGGCTGATGAACATGCATGTTTGAGAAATCCTTTCATCTCCCTTGGCAGCCATTCAGCAATGCAAAACGCCTGGGTGGACCAAGCTCCGCCTTAAAGGACCAAGCTCCTCCTCCGAGCTACAGTTTCCAAGCACCTCACAGAGCAGCCCTACCTCGTGATTTCCTCACTCAGCTCCTTCAAACTAGCCATCAATAATTAGCAAACAAATGGTGGAACTGAGCACCTGCTGAGCTCATTATAGGAGCTACTTCTCAGTGAAATGCTGGTAAAAACATTAAAGGGTTAATGGAGGAGCGGTGCTTTGATGACTTCCTGAAGGCGGAGTTTCAGAGAGAACAGGATGTTTAAAGAAACATGTTCAATATATACACAATTTTTAGAACAATTGGAGGTAAAATAGTTACTTTGATCTTATAAAATTACACTATATGCATGAAAAATACACCCTGCTGCTCTAAGATTCTGAAGTTTTCATAAATTTCATTAGTATTTTTATAGAGTGGCCTTTTGACTTGAGTATCATATTTTGCGTGTGTTTCTACAAGCGTCTTACAGTATCTTCCTCTGCTCTCCTCAGGATTTCGACCATCACTGTCCCTGGGTGAACAACTGCATTGGTCGGAGGAACTACCGTTACTTCTTCCTCTTCTTGCTGTCGTTGAGCGTTCACATGGTGGGAGTCTTTTCCTTCGGCCTCATATTTGTCCTCCACCACAGAGAAAAGCTGGGAGGTCTTCACACCACCGTCACGTATCCTTTTACTGCTGCAGTGCTAAACTGTAGTATATAGAGTTTTAAAAAATCCTCTCCTATATAAATCGATAACGGCCGCTGAGCAGGATTTCTACGTTTCGCCTTGACTTGTGCGCACCAGCATGGTGGTGATGTGCATAGCGGGGCTGTTCTTCATCCCGGTTATGGGCCTCACGGGCTTCCACATGGTGCTCGTAGCTCGGGGTCGAACAACTAATGAACAGGTGAGGGGGCGCTGATGAACGACTCTAATAAAAATCACACACGCTCGTTCTTCTGATTGTTCTCCTCCGTCTGTAAATATTCGCGTGTGCGTTTTGTACGACCTTGTGACGCAGGTGACGGGCAAGTTTCGTGGGGGAGTAAATCCATTCACCAAGGGTTGCTGTGGCAACGTGGAGTACGTCTTATGCAGTCCGCTGGCTCCCAGGTAACATGCTATGCTCCAATGTGTGAGCGTACACACACACACACACACACACACACTTGCATGCATTTTAACTTTTTTTTTCCCCCTCTTCCCCATGGACACCCGTGTGCAGTATGAGTCAGCACACAAATCCAGATGCGTGCATGTGCTGTGGCTCATTAAAAGCTCATGACATCCATGCTGTTTGCACAGACTGATCAGCCCCACCCAGTCACTGCAGTGACAAATACAGGCTGTGCATGGACTGAGCCGGTTGCAGCGGTGTCCTGCATGTATGTGGTTCTGTCTGACAGCAGCCAGCAGAACCCTGTGGGGGGAAAGGCAGATGGCTGAGAGATTTCACTCACTCTGCACAGAAATGGCTAATGGGAAGCAGAGGCAGTCAGCATGATTTGTCGTCCAACAGAAGGTTCTTAAAGTGAGCAGATATTTGAAATCCAAGTGAGATAAGGCACTTAAGATGCCCTCCGTTATCTGTAGCTGCTGTTTAACTAATTTTTGGATTCACACAAACGCTGGTTCAAATCAGGTTTAGTCTGATTGCTACAGGAAACACCTTTTCTTTTTTTTTTTTTTCTGTTTTTTTTTTTACAAATCCGGTAGCCAGTCAGGGATGATGAGTTGGTAATCTTGCATTTGCTTAAAAATACAAAAGAGAGCAACAAAGGCATTTGTAGTTTATTAGATTCAATAGAAAAAAGAAAAAGAAATCCCATCTTTTCCAAAAAATATTTCCAATTTCAGATTAATTTGTTTGTTTGGTACTCTTGGTTGTCCACGAGTACCAGCAGATATATTCGCAATGCAGCATAACCCGACTTACAGTTAAGTCTAAAATTATTCATACACCTGGCAGATTTAGGATCAAAATGTTTTTTTCATTCAACAGAGAAATTTATTTCTGACAGGAAGTCAGACAGGTTTCTCTCCAAAGATAATAAAACAATCTAAAAATATCATCTAATTATTATTTTTTTTAAATATCAGGTGTTAACCTGGTCACTGAGTATACGCTTTAGCTAATCCCACCTGTTTTCTATTTTCTCTTTTGAAAAGTGAAGAAAAAAACATTTACCTTCCAGATGTTTGATACCAACATTTCCAGTATGACCGGTAGCATCCGTACCGCGTTTGAGCGTGTTGGGTCTAAAGTTCAGCACATGTCAGGAAAGCTGAGTCCTGGATGAAGAGCTTTTGTGTTCACGTGCCGCCATGTTGTTCAGGTACGTGTTGGACCCCAGGAAGAGGCCCCACGTCAAAATCCAGCCCCCGTTTATCCGACCGGACCTCTCTGACCAGCAGATCACCATCAAAGTCAGCGACAACGGCATGCACAGCACGATAACGAACTCCAAGGTGAGCAGCTTGCAGTTACCACTGAACTCACCGCTCCAAAAACCCTCGTCATCCCATCACTGAGTTATTAACTCCACATCCTCCATTGTTGCCATACTTTCCCATTTTTAGACAATAGTCAAGTCCTTTATATCAGAGCATTTCCACGTGGCTGCCTCAGGACATTATTAGACTCTTTGACTTCAAAAACAAGTGACTCAGACAGGAGACAAAGAATTTGATTAGTAATAACTCAGAAATTTTGTTCTGTTTGTCTGGATTCAGTGCGTGGTTACAGTAAAAAAAAAAAAAAAGAGAAAAGGGGCAAATGTTTTGAATTTATGGTTTTGTATCTCAGTCAGACATCTTGCCTTTGTCGACAGCATGGAGGGAGATTTACTGACACATAATGATGCCAATTAAAGGAGCTCTTAAAGACAACATGTTCCGAGAAACTGTTTAAATGTCACTGCTTTTAAGTCGTTTCATAACACAAATACTTAAATAAAATCTTTTCCACAGCTTTATGGGATTTGCAAAAATATTTGTACGCCTTGAACTTTTTCTAAAATGTTGTCATGTAACACCCACAAACTGCTCCATCCAAACACAGCTAGCTGCCTAAGGAAGAGCAGTAAATCTTAGAGGAACCAAACCACCATTTACCAGGCTGCTGCTAACGGACTGCTAATAGTCTATTGTGCTAACAGACTGATGCATCACTCGGGTTTAAATATTCACATTTAAATTAAAAAATACTTTACTGATGCCAAAAAGAAATTAAATGTTGTTGTAACTCATTTAATAAAATAGTTTTTTTGTTTATCACAAATTTGGAAGTTTTACATTTCATCTGACTGGCAAACAGCTTGATCCTCCATTGGCGGCTAGCAGTAACCCCTGTAGATTCCACTCCTAACAGAGCTACGCAGGCATAAAGGTTGACTAACTAAATACTCATGTAAGACACATGGAAAATGTTTTTGTCCTTCATTAGTTTCCACTTAAAAAAGAATGCATTTAAGTTGAGTTATTGCTTCATGCAGCCGTCTGTGGGAGTTGCATTATCAGTGCATCCTTAGCAACAACAGATGGTCCTCTCAGTTATACGTGCCAATCCCCCCCACCTGTTCTGGATGCCTTTAACTCTCCCTCTCCTCCTCGTAGTCCAAAAGCAGCATCGACGGCCTGGACGGCAAAGAAACCCAGCCGCCGCTGCCCCCCAAAGCTGACAGGTACAACCAGCTGAAAGGCCAGCTGACGTCCAGCGAAGGTACGACGCTCCTTTGCACTTCTGGTACTCGTGATCCGATCCTGGTTTGTCTTTTCTAGTAGGGTTGCACCAAGAGACAACTTTCCCAAACTCCATCCGTAGATCACAAGTGTCCTAGATACTGGAGTTGGCTCTGGATAGTTCATATTTGTTCCAACAATCTTTGGTCGTTTTAGTGTCTGAGCCAAGGAACTGGCTTGATCTGTATTGACGAGACCAGCTCTGCACAGTGAATCAGCAGCAAATTTGTCGGGAAAAAAAATGGAAAGAAATTAAATGAATCACTGCCCTTTCTTTTGTGGGTTGTCCAAAAAGGATTTCTTTAGCTTAAATGGTTGCATAAATCGGTGTGAATGGTACTGACTGGGTAGAGTCCCATTCATCAGCATGAAGTGTCAGAGAAGGATAAAGCAATGTAAACAGCAGGTTAGCTACTGAAGATCCACAGCGTCATGCTGCATTATGTCAGGGAGGGAACACGTTTTGATTATCCACAGAGCACTACTGCCATCTGGTGGTGCTTGAAAGTGCTGCAGGTGTTTCTGAAGCGTATCTGTTGAAAAAGGTCTAATCATTTTGTCAATTTTTCATTAAAGGGGTGATTCTACAGTCCCTGCTGGCTACAGCTCTCATGGACAAATTTTGACTTTGCTGAAAGAATATAATTCAGTGGGGGAGAGGACAAACCATGCAAAAATTTAAACACTAATAAAATAGCTAAAAATATACTCATCTTCCTTTGTTTTAAAACTACGTTGGGAATCCAGCGTTAACAGTGGACTACCAACAATCCTAACAATCTTTTTTCCTGCCACTATAACATCCGAGTCTGGATGTTTATTACCATGCTTTGATAGTTGTCAACATGACATGCAAGAATGAACTTCAGAGTCAGTCAAATCTTAACCATTGCAATTGAAAGCCTATCTTTACTCCATTGCCTGTAAAATTTCAATAAAATAAAAAGCAGAGTACCCAGTGTAGGACCTTGGGGTACACCAACAGCACTGTCAACCATTTCAAATTGTCGTGTAAGCACACTTGTTTTTTATTACCTTTTTTGCTTCTTTTTATTCATTATTAGAGCACAGAGAATTGTCACTTGTATATATATAAAAAAAAGCAAAAAGCAACTATGAAGTGTTTTCTTTGTATGTTTTGTTTGTATAGAAAGCTCTCTTTCTGGAAAAACCCACCCTTCCACGCCAGCCATGTACAGATTCAAGCCATCCTTTGGCACAATGCCGAAAGTCCACTACCACACTGCTGGAGAGAAGGTAAGTAGAGATCTTTCCTTTTTTGGGCTCAGAACTATTATTTCAAGGTTTATGAGGGCTGTTTGTTCCTTCCTTTGCTTCTCAGATCGTTATGCCAGATGGTCGAAAAAATTCAGCCATCTTGGAAGAAGGTGTACGATCCGACTACCGATCTGAGCCAAACCTCGATCTGCCCGAGTATGCCAACGCTCCGCTCCACCGCACTTTCCAGTCCTCACCTCACCAGCTGGATGCCGATCCCACCAACTCCCACACGCTCAGCCTGAAGCAAGGTCACCGCCGGCCAGAGAAGGGCCAGCTGCAGGCGCTGCCGCCCCAGACGGTCGCTTCCACTGCATATAAGGGTGTTTTCTCTCCGAACACTCTCTCCAACCGTAACGGCAGTCTGTCCTACGACAGCCTGCTCAACCCCAGCATCTCTCCAGCCAGTGCCAATGAGTGCATGGCCCACCGGGGTATGCCATCCATGGGATTCCATTCACCCTACCTGCCCACCAAAATGTGCCACATCCGGGAATCTGAGATCCACAGACAACAGGTTGCTCAAACTTACAGTCCGGTGATGCCTCCCAGAGGGTTGGGCAGACAATCCCCTCACCTAAGGGACAGAGAGCCATCTCCGGTGCGCTATGATAACCTCTCCCAAACCATAATGGCCTCCATCCAGGAGAGGAAGGAGAAGGAGGAGAGGGAGAAGCGGCAGATGCTGCACGGACGCTCCCAGACCCATATCTACGTCCAGGACTCTGGCGTGTTCGACGCAGGTTATGGCCCACCCGCCAACGCCAGCTTCCTAGATGGACCTCGTGGACACGGGTCTAGAGGCCCGACACCGCCAGCGTACGGTGGCTCCAGGGACAATCTGATGGGGGTCGGGCTGGCAAACTACGGCCAAAGAACCCCCGTATTGCGTCACGCTGGTACCACTCTTGGCCGGGCCCCCAGGACTTCATCCACCTCCTTACACACAGACCACAGCAGCTCTAACAGCAGCCAGGGCAGGGCCCCCAGCCATGAAGGCTCCTATCGCTCCCCCACCCACAAGCCCCGATCCCCAGCCATGCCCCGATCCCCCTCCTACTCCCACCAGAAACTTTCCTACATCAGCGCTCACGACAGGACAGACTCCCCTCGGTTAGGGGGCCAGAGGTATGAATCCTGACATTGCCCCCCTCCCAGGGGGCTGCATGCATGGTAGCGATCGAGTGGGAACTGTTGGACTTTCCACTGGAAGCTCTGCTTGTTCTGGTGATCACAGCCAGCAGTTCATCACCTCTAATGTGTTATGCCTAACTGAGGCAACTTGTAGCATCTTGGTCTTGTTTATGGCATTCTGTTCTCCATTTATTCATTCGTTCTGTCGGTGTGACTTTGCACATGTCCTGTATGATTGCCTTCTAGAAAATACCATTTTTTTTCTTTCTCAATTTGTCTGTTTAATAAAATGATCTGAGTCCCAGTTTCGTTTTCACGTGCATGCCTTCGTTTCGACCACTTGTCTTCCACCTCCTTTTCTCTCCTCTAATGAAACACACCAAAATAACCCTCCATGCTGCTGTTGAGATTTCATTCTTTGAGATCCAAACAGGTAACCTGCATGTTTCCACTCCTTGTTCTGCGTCGAAGCTTTTTTCTTTTGGTGCTGAATCGTCTTTGTTTTTGTCTCCTCTTTCCACTTAGAGAGGCCATGAAAGTTAACGGGCAGATGGACTGCCACCTGAGCCCCAGTCGCCATGGTAACGTCAAAAAGGTGACGGGTGTCGGAGGCACCACGTACGAAATATCTGTGTGAGCGAGGAAAGCACCCTCAGCTTGTTCACAACAACATCGCCGTGGAGGGGAGAAATTGTCTTTTGTCCAATCAGGGCTCGTTAGTACCTGGTGATATGATTTAACTGTCCAATCAAAGGAACTCATTGTGTGAGGGTGTCAAAGCAATACCGTATGAATCTGTGGTGATGGAGAAGAGTAGTAGGGAAAAAAAAAGAAGAAGTGATGTGTGTGTGAGCGTGAAGGCTTTTGTCGTCAATAATTCTGACTCGCCATCTTGGTTGGTGGAACAGGAAGTCTGGCAGCCTGTCGTGAGGCGGCTGCTCCGGACATCTGGACCTTGGCAAGAAGACTGCTGCTCGGGTCCGACGTGACAAGAATTCATGGTGCTTCACTTTTTCTCCTCCCGTACCGTCCACATTGTCTTCGGGGGTGTTGTGATGGACATCTTAAAGGCTTTGAGAGTCAGCAAGGAAGTTTAGGAAACATAACAGGAGTGGAAAGAGAAGGTTTTATTTTCATCTCGTCTGATGGTTGCATTCCAAATTCAGTTGCTTTTGATGGAAGAAAGGAAAAGATAACTTTGTGTTTGTTAAAAATATTTTTTCTCAGGAATTAATGCAACCAGCAGACATGCTAGTTGACATGAATTCATATATTATGAATGTGTTTTTTTCCCTTGATGTTTATTGCAGATTATTTAGGGCTTTCTTTCCCTCCTTTACCTTCACAAAGGGCGGTGTGGAGCTGTGTGCCCTTGTTTTTCAGAGACTATCCTACAACACAAGAACTGGGCTGGTATGTTTGCATTCTGAAATCCTAGTATACCTCATCACAATATTTCTCACAGATTCCAGATAAGTTCAGACTTGCACAGCCCCAAGAAAAACTCATGTTTCATCAAATAAAGGAAAAAAATATTTACATGTGATTTAAAAATGAGAGTCAAATAAGGTGTCTTTTTGATACAATTTTAGTTTTTTTTTTCCTTTAACATGCCCAATCTCTTAAAAACCATGTTTGATACATATTTTTATACCTACATTTTGGTTGAATTTTAATGTTTAAAGTGAGGTGCTCCTGGTAGATATGCTTAAAAATTATGAAATGATTTAATCTTTGCTTGCAGTAGCATAATCTAAACCTGATTAATTTTTCTGAAAAATGTAACCTTTAACTTGAGTATATTTATTCAGTTGGGGGTAAAAAAAAAAAGATCTAAAGAAATAAAAGTTTTTAAACATGTGGCACAAGGAGTGCTACTCCTACCAATCACTTTAAAAGAAAAGTTTTATTTAGATTTTGTAAAGCTGATCAAAGTTTCTAGGAACTGCTGAGTATTAATACACGGCACTGATTTCTTGGAGTAAATTTATGACATTAAAAGACCCAGGCTTGATGGGGACCTATATTTATCTTGCCACCCTACAGTGAGCAGGGTGACAAGGCAGATGGTAAAAATATTTCCAAAGCTCACTGTGATGAGATCTACCGCAAAGACTGGCGTCCTGCTGCCACAAAGTCCCCATAGCAACTGAAAACAGGTTGCTTGGGAGGGATGCCAGTAAAAATGCTTTTCTGTTCCTAACATCACAAAAGAAAACATGGAATTTGCTGTCTTTCTGGTAGAATAGCTGGAAAGTGAGATGAGACTAAGATTGAGCTTTCCAGCAATACCTCAGGTAGGTTTGGTGTGTAATAAATAATGAATATGAGGAATAGCAACTCAAACCCACTAAAATACGATGGTGCGGGGCCTTTTTCTCTTCTGGAATGCTTTTTGGAACTTGTATTGGTATTTTTTTTCCTTACATACCAGGGACATTTTAAATAAAACATGCAAACTTTGTTGTTCTGTAGAAGGCAAAGTACTAATAACAGGAGTACCAATAAATATGCCACGTTAGGATTTTCTTTAATACATGTTTTTATTCTTCATCTGGATAACTGTACTCAAAAAATTACTGTCAAATTATGCTACTGTAGCAAAAAATCAACTTATTTTAAGGCTTATTTTTAACACATCTTTACCAGAGTTGCCAATAAATGTGTCCAGGTCTGTAAATATAACATTGCCATGAATTCACTAGATGAATCAGATCATGGACAATGGGTGAACTGAAATATTGCTTGTTTTACGTTGCTGTGCAAGAATAAGTCTATGGTCAATTGTAACTGATAGATTTGTGTTGTGGAAAGTAACGTTAAAGTGACATGACTAGTGAGCGGTCACATGGTCCTTATGGTCAAACATTACAGGTCAAGAAATGTGCATGTCATTATAGCTGCCTTGAGTTATCAATGCCAAACGTGGCCATACTTCTTGAACACAGCAAACGGGTGACATCTGCGCTTAAGTAGAGTGGAAATAATCGGACTATTTGCAGAGGCTGTCTGGTACAGCGCATCGACGTTTTTCTTTGCTGTTGAGATGTAAAATCCTGATGACTTTTCAAAACTGAAAGGCAGAAATTAATACAAGCTACATGTCAGATTTGTTTGCGCTACAAGAAAAGCCACCGTTGCCTTTTTTTAATGAAGAAACTGTTTCCTACACAGTTAAGTGTGTCTGAAACACTGCTGAGAGACAATGAAATGCAATCTGTCAATCAGATTGAGCAGAAAGTGACTCTGGAGAGCAGTTTGGGCTGGGTGAACCTTTTCAACTGCAAAAGAATAACAAATAAACAAATAGAAAAACAGGGGCGACTCGAACGTGCAAGTTAGGAAACCCCAGTTCCTCTCATCTGGTTGGTTTAAATTTCTCTGAAGTTCAAGGCAGAAAAACCAGAGGCTGTGGTAGTCATTTGCTAAGGTTGAACCTTTACTAACAGTTTGACCAACATGGTTGCTCTTTAAGGTCTCACCCAGCTGCCTTAAACAAAACGTTCTTGTGAGGCTGTGGTCAACAGGGCTATTTTGGCAAATGTGATGGTTGGGTGAACCAATAAAATGTAATGGTTGTTTTGTTTACTTAACTCCTGTTTGTAATGACTTTCAAACCCCTGTCTGACCATGCCTCTGAATGCAACCAACCATCATTCCACCTTAAGGTGACTGCCGTTACGCCAATGTTCCTTTCCTAGGATGGACATCACTGCAGGTCAGGGCCCCATTCCTGACGGTCGACAACGACCAACCATTTTGTTTCAAAGACATATATGTATAATAGAGAATACACAATAGCTGTATATGTGTTCCTATTTTTGTGAAGAGGAAATATTCCCATGACCTGAAAGAATAAAATTTCCAACTCTGAGCGAATCTGTTTATTCTTGATAATCACCTGCAAGAGGAACTGATGTTTTATATGAATTGTGTCCAGAAGAGGGCGCCAGAGCTCAATATGCTCCAATCACCAATCAGACAGACTTTAGTGGTGATTGGAGCAAATTGAGCACGACTGCCCTCTTCTGGACAGCATCATGATCACTGTACACCTCAACCAGAATTCGTCATCACAGGCTGTTGTAAATTATTTTTAAAGTAACCTGATAAAGTAAAATATGGTAAATACTGTCAAAACCTGCAACAGCTCTTACTTTGAGACTTCATCTGGACCCGCCAGTTGCTTGACCTTACCTACCTTTGATGAGTCAGGTGGATCCTCAGCTTGCTTGTAGTGATCGTTTCAGTGTCCATCGTCGACCTGCTGATGGTTCCAGATGACATTTTTTTCTTCTCGAATGTTTTAGGGACGCCAGCAGCCAAACAACCCACCGCTGAGAGGCCATGGTTGGGCCGTGTCTGCTGCTTTGTTTAGACACAAAAATGGCTTCCAAAACACCATCAGGGACAAAAAAAAAAAAAGTCCAACTTAGAATAATGTTTCAGAAAACACTTAACGTAAAACAAATACAGGGATTTCAACACATAGCGCTGCAGCAACTTACTGACTCACTCAGCACTGAAAGTTTAAGGCATTTTGGCCCCGTCAACTTGGAGACCATTTCAGGTGAAGACGCAAAAGTTAGTTATTTAGGCTGGGCGTAGATATTGTTTTAAACCGGGCTCCAGAGTTGATGAATATCAGAACACCGGTTTCTTGTCTCATGTGGCCGAACCGCCTTAAGCTCGTAAATAAACGTGGCACTGTTTAACATCTAAAGTTTTGAAAATATACATTTTTCTAATAACAAAAGTTTATATCCTATATAGTTTTAGAATAATTTACAGAAATAGTGATATTGTATTATATATTCAAAATGTTTGCACTGAGACGAGAGTCGAGAGCCACCAGAAGAAAAATAAATCCTATCCATTATACAAGCTACAGTTGTTGCATTAACCAGACATCAGAAGTTTCTTACCTGGATGGTTGCCAAGTGGTCTGAAGTTTTTCCAAGAGTAAATTTTATTGGGTTTCCTGACGAGCTTCATTGAGGTGCTTTTGTTTTCCAGCAGGATTTGAAATTGGCTCACATTGTTAAAAGGACCAATGGTTACTAAAGCATGCAAGACAAATCACTAAGAATTGAGTGAACATGCTGTAAAGCACATGAACAGAATTTTTAGTAGGGAGACATTTCAGTACTAAAAATCCTTTTTATTTTCCTTATAATATTCAAGTTTCCTACTAGAAAAGTGAGTTTTCATTAATTCTAGCCACAATAAAGCTATATAGTTACAAATGTTAAAATGAATTAGTGAAATAATGTTTCCGATGACATTTTCATTTACCGAGATGTGTTTTTTTTATACATGGATACAAGCGTGTGATCTTTACCAGCTTTTATTTGAAGGAGGAGGAAACATTTCAGGTCATCTGAGTGCAAACGAAGAGCAACATTTCATCCATATACATGTATTTACAGATGCACTGGCACTTGGATGCACTGAAGAGTCAAGGTAGAGAGAACGTATTCGGTGGAAAGAAAAAGGAGCGGGCGGTGCGAACACAGAACCAAGATGGGGCGCACTCCGTTACATACACTTTACATGCTTTGAAGTCTGGGAATGTTAAGAGCTAAAAACATACAAACTTATCTCCTGATGAGAAACATGAGTCGGGGGGCGGGGAGGAAGAGAGAGAAAAAGCTGCACAAATTAATGAACCGTTTTCACTTTGGACTTAATAGTTTTCAAGACTTTTTAAGAGAGAGAGAGAAAAAAAAAGATTCTTAACTAAGTGCATCTGATTCGTGGTGGACACTGTGACTTCGAAACACTCATCTGATGCTCCCCAATGTCCAGAGTGAATTCCTCCTTTTTCTGCCACAGACTGGACTAAACCGAGGGATAAATCACCTCAAAGAGACGTCTACTCCTTGCCGTCTAATAGTGGAAGTGTGGATAGGACGCACAGGCCCATAGAGAGTCATCAGTGGGTTTCACCTTCAAAATGCGTCTCCATAATCCCTGGTTCCTGACCTGGTGCTGCTAATGAGCAGGCTACATTATCCTCTCACCCTACAAATGAACTCTGCTTCAGAATAACAAAAAGCAAAACAAAACAAAAAATACCCCAATGTGGGAATCATCGCTATCACAAGCCTCTTTTCACAGTTTGTTAATAGTAATGTTGAACTCTCAAAAGTAAGGGTGGAAAAGTGTTGGCTTCCACTGAGCAGAATGGGAACAGGGTCAGAGAAAATATATATATTTGTTATTAACTTTGTTTCTGATATTTTCTCCAGTGGCTTCAAGGACTTGTGATCTTGAGGCAAAACAGATTTTAAAAAACAAAAAACTAATATGCAAGAGTCCAAATTCAGTTCATAGAGTCTATTGTAGAAAAAGAGGAAAACTGAAAAAAACAAAACAAAACAAAAAAAAACTGAAGATCAGCAAAGCAAGTTCTTGGTTCTTAATTCTTCTCAGCTTTCACCTCCTTTTTCTCAGTTTCCTTTTTGTCCTCTTCCTTCTTTCCCTCAGATGCCTTATCTTTTACTGAAAGCTCCTCCAGCTTCTCTGCCACCTTGTTTGCACTGTCAGTGTTGCCTGTGGCGAAACGATACAGGATCCATGAACATTTTCAGCAATTTTCTTGTCTTAAAATGTATTCTGATTTCTACGACTGCATAGTAAGGCCATTGTAGATTCAAAGAATAAATTTCTGCACAAAGAACTCAGAAACAAGGAAATGTCCAAGATTGAAAAGTAAAAAATTTGCTAGAAAAACCCTCCTGAAATGTTCAGATTCATCTCAGAAATTTGAGAAATTGCAAATATTTGAAAAAGTTTGATTTTTGGACATCATCAGAAATGTTTACTTTTATTTTAAATTAAAAAATTCAGTTTCTTTTCCTGGCAAATGTGCTTCTTTTCAAACTCAAATTAATGCGATTTTGTGGTGGAAAGTTGCTCCTCTTTATTATCTATTAATCTACAACGGCCCTAATACGCTGTCATACATTTCCATTGATGGAAATATGTGATGGTATTTAAAGAAAAAAAGAAAAGAAAAAAGTTGCCTCTTAACCAAAAATGAGTAGAAGTCTATTTAAAAAGAAGCCAAAATGTAGCAAAATGCAACACCAGCAGCCTTTTAGCAAAGCTAGTCACGTTACATTATGCATGTTTATGTAGCAGACAGAAAAAGTCCAAAGCTGGAATAAGCAGCAAAGGACAGAGTGTGTCTGCATTGTATTTACATTTCATAACGTTTTTATTATTTATGTCAGTTCATTTGGTAGAATTTATTTTTTGTTAGAAATAAATTCTACCAAACATCATCCAGCTAAATTAACTGAAGGTTAATGCGTAATGCTTGTTGTTTTATTCAAATGCGTCTACAACAATAACCAGCACACTGAAATGTACTAAATAGGCCAAAAAAAATCTAAAAATGAAAAAGGTTTATGTATTATGTACCTGATCCCTCTACTTGCTTTTTAACTTCCTCTTTGCATTCGTCAAACTTCACCTTGAACTTCTGAGCGTCTGTTGAAGGAAAATGCAGGTTGTCAGCTGGAGCAAACAGAAACAGCCTTCTTTAAATACTGAACACTACTCACTTTCTGCGTTTAAGAAGCGGATCGCCAGGAGTTCTGGTTTGGGACATTCGTCAGCGTAGTCTGCTAGTGTGTTCCACACCCATGCTCTGTCGCTGCCGGAGTTGGGCTTCAGCTCCATCAGCGGGCTGACTGCAGGTTACAGGAAGGTCAGACTGTTACAAAGGGAGAAGCGGCTGGATGTGCGTCTACTTGAGGACAACACCGCTTCGCAGTTTATGAGGGCTGTTGATTTAAATCGATGCGAAATGTTAGTTCAGTCCAGCAGAACCGCCTAAATGTGCTAGAACATTATTTACTTTACCTTTTCTCTCTGGCTAACAAGTAGGGGGTGAGAATTTATTGCATTATCTTGATAAATTTTGTATCACGATTATTTTTGATTTATCTTTGTCATGACAAATTCCAATTAATGGTGTTTAAAATCCCCCATTACTGGCCTTACTGTTGGGGATTGTTAGTTCTACTATTTTCTCCACTGTTTGTTCAATAAAAGCATCAATAAATATCAATATATTTGAAAACACTGCTAGCAACTTGCAGCTTGGTGATACAAATCACACTTCTTTATGCGACTGGTGTCCGAAGGAACCACATTGGAAATGGGAATGTTTCCAAGAGTGAGATCTGTGTTTGTGGGGCTCTGAATGCTGTGGCACATGGTCACAGTCACACCTAAAAAGACATTACCTTAAAAAAAAAAAAAAAANTAAATGTGTCCAGGTCTGTAAATATAACATTGCCATGAATTCACTAGATGAATCAGATCATGGACAATGGGTGAACTGAAATATTGCTTGTTTTACGTTGCTGTGCAAGAATAAGTCTATGGTCAATTGTAACTGATAGATTTGTGTTGTGGAAAGTAACGTTAAAGTGACATGACTAGTGAGCGGTCACATGGTCCTTATGGTCAAACATTACAGGTCAAGAAATGTGCATGTCATTATAGCTGCCTTGAGTTATCAATGCCAAACGTGGCCATACTTCTTGAACACAGCAAACGGGTGACATCTGCGCTTAAGTAGAGTGGAAATAATCGGACTATTTGCAGAGGCTGTCTGGTACAGCGCATCGACGTTTTTCTTTGCTGTTGAGATGTAAAATCCTGATGACTTTTCAAAACTGAAAGGCAGAAATTAATACAAGCTACATGTCAGATTTGTTTGCGCTACAAGAAAAGCCACCGTTGCCTTTTTTTAATGAAGAAACTGTTTCCTACACAGTTAAGTGTGTCTGAAACACTGCTGAGAGACAATGAAATGCAATCTGTCAATCAGATTGAGCAGAAAGTGACTCTGGAGAGCAGTTTGGGCTGGGTGAACCTTTTCAACTGCAAAAGAATAACAAATAAACAAATAGAAAAACAGGGGCGACTCGAACGTGCAAGTTAGGAAACCCCAGTTCCTCTCATCTGGTTGGTTTAAATTTCTCTGAAGTTCAAGGCAGAAAAACCAGAGGCTGTGGTAGTCATTTGCTAAGGTTGAACCTTTACTAACAGTTTGACCAACATGGTTGCTCTTTAAGGTCTCACCCAGCTGCCTTAAACAAAACGTTCTTGTGAGGCTGTGGTCAACAGGGCTATTTTGGCAAATGTGATGGTTGGGTGAACCAATAAAATGTAATGGTTGTTTTGTTTACTTAACTCCTGTTTGTAATGACTTTCAAACCCCTGTCTGACCATGCCTCTGAATGCAACCAACCATCATTCCACCTTAAGGTGACTGCCGTTACGCCAATGTTCCTTTCCTAGGATGGACATCACTGCAGGTCAGGGCCCCATTCCTGACGGTCGACAACGACCAACCATTTTGTTTCAAAGACATATATGTATAATAGAGAATACACAATAGCTGTATATGTGTTCCTATTTTTGTGAAGAGGAAATATTCCCATGACCTGAAAGAATAAAATTTCCAACTCTGAGCGAATCTGTTTATTCTTGATAATCACCTGCAAGAGGAACTGATGTTTTATATGAATTGTGTCCAGAAGAGGGCGCCAGAGCTCAATATGCTCCAATCACCAATCAGACAGACTTTAGTGGTGATTGGAGCAAATTGAGCACGACTGCCCTCTTCTGGACAGCATCATGATCACTGTACACCTCAACCAGAATTCGTCATCACAGGCTGTTGTAAATTATTTTTAAAGTAACCTGATAAAGTAAAATATGGTAAATACTGTCAAAACCTGCAACAGCTCTTACTTTGAGACTTCATCTGGACCCGCCAGTTGCTTGACCTTACCTACCTTTGATGAGTCAGGTGGATCCTCAGCTTGCTTGTAGTGATCGTTTCAGTGTCCATCGTCGACCTGCTGATGGTTCCAGATGACATTTTTTTCTTCTCGAATGTTTTAGGGACGCCAGCAGCCAAACAACCCACCGCTGAGAGGCCATGGTTGGGCCGTGTCTGCTGCTTTGTTTAGACACAAAAATGGCTTCCAAAACACCATCAGAGACAAAAAAAAAAAAGTCCAACTTAGAATAATGTTTCAGAAAACACTTAACGTAAAACAAATACAGGGATTTCAACACATAGCGCTGCAGCAACTTACTGACTCACTCAGCACTGAAAGTTTAAGGCATTTTGGCCCCGTCAACTTGGAGACCATTTCAGGTGAAGACGCAAAAGTTAGTTATTTAGGCTGGGCGTAGATATTGTTTTAAACCGGGCTCCAGAGTTGATGAATATCAGAACACCGGTTTCTTGTCTCATGTGGCCGAACCGCCTTAAGCTCGTAAATAAACGTGGCACTGTTTAACATCTAAAGTTTTGAAAATATACATTTTTCTAATAACAAAAGTTTATATCCTATATAGTTTTAGAATAATTTACAGAAATAGTGATATTGTATTATATATTCAAAATGTTTGCACTGAGACGAGAGTCGAGAGCCACCAGAAGAAAAATAAATCCTATCCATTATACAAGCTACAGTTGTTGCATTAACCAGACATCAGAAGTTTCTTACCTGGATGGTTGCCAAGTGGTCTGAAGTTTTTCCAAGAGTAAATTTTATTGGGTTTCCTGACGAGCTTCATTGAGGTGCTTTTGTTTTCCAGCAGGATTTGAAATTGGCTCACATTGTTAAAAGGACCAATGGTTACTAAAGCATGCAAGACAAATCACTAAGAATTGAGTGAACATGCTGTAAAGCACATGAACAGAATTTTTAGTAGGGAGACATTTCAGTACTAAAAATCCTTTTTATTTTCCTTATAATATTCAAGTTTCCTACTAGAAAAGTGAGTTTTCATTAATTCTAGCCACAATAAAGCTATATAGTTACAAATGTTAAAATGAATTAGTGAAATAATGTTTCCGATGACATTTTCATTTACCGAGATGTGTTTTTTTTATACATGGATACAAGCGTGTGATCTTTACCAGCTTTTATTTGAAGGAGGAGGAAACATTTCAGGTCATCTGAGTGCAAACGAAGAGCAACATTTCATCCATATACATGTATTTACAGATGCACTGGCACTTGGATGCACTGAAGAGTCAAGGTAGAGAGAACGTATTCGGTGGAAAGAAAAAGGAGCGGGCGGTGCGAACACAGAACCAAGATGGGGCGCACTCCGTTACATACACTTTACATGCTTTGAAGTCTGGGAATGTTAAGAGCTAAAAACATACAAACTTATCTCCTGATGAGAAACATGAGTCGGGGGGCGGGGAGGAAGAGAGAGAAAAAGCTGCACAAATTAATGAACCGTTTTCACTTTGGACTTAATAGTTTTCAAGACTTTTTAAGAGAGAGAGAGAAAAAAAAAGATTCTTAACTAAGTGCATCTGATTCGTGGTGGACACTGTGACTTCGAAACACTCATCTGATGCTCCCCAATGTCCAGAGTGAATTCCTCCTTTTTCTGCCACAGACTGGACTAAACCGAGGGATAAATCACCTCAAAGAGACGTCTACTCCTTGCCGTCTAATAGTGGAAGTGTGGATAGGACGCACAGGCCCATAGAGAGTCATCAGTGGGTTTCACCTTCAAAATGCGTCTCCATAATCCCTGGTTCCTGACCTGGTGCTGCTAATGAGCAGGCTACATTATCCTCTCACCCTACAAATGAACTCTGCTTCAGAATAACAAAAAGCAAAACAAAACAAAAAATACCCCAATGTGGGAATCATCGCTATCACAAGCCTCTTTTCACAGTTTGTTAATAGTAATGTTGAACTCTCAAAAGTAAGGGTGGAAAAGTGTTGGCTTCCACTGAGCAGAATGGGAACAGGGTCAGAGAAAATATATATATTTGTTATTAACTTTGTTTCTGATATTTTCTCCAGTGGCTTCAAGGACTTGTGATCTTGAGGCAAAACAGATTTTAAAAAACAAAAAACTAATATGCAAGAGTCCAAATTCAGTTCATAGAGTCTATTGTAGAAAAAGAGGAAAACTGAAAAAAACAAAACAAAACAAAAAAAAACTGAAGATCAGCAAAGCAAGTTCTTGGTTCTTAATTCTTCTCAGCTTTCACCTCCTTTTTCTCAGTTTCCTTTTTGTCCTCTTCCTTCTTTCCCTCAGATGCCTTATCTTTTACTGAAAGCTCCTCCAGCTTCTCTGCCACCTTGTTTGCACTGTCAGTGTTGCCTGTGGCGAAACGATACAGGATCCATGAACATTTTCAGCAATTTTCTTGTCTTAAAATGTATTCTGATTTCTACGACTGCATAGTAAGGCCATTGTAGATTCAAAGAATAAATTTCTGCACAAAGAACTCAGAAACAAGGAAATGTCCAAGATTGAAAAGTAAAAAATTTGCTAGAAAAACCCTCCTGAAATGTTCAGATTCATCTCAGAAATTTGAGAAATTGCAAATATTTGAAAAAGTTTGATTTTTGGACATCATCAGAAATGTTTACTTTTATTTTAAATTAAAAAATTCAGTTTCTTTTCCTGGCAAATGTGCTTCTTTTCAAACTCAAATTAATGCGATTTTGTGGTGGAAAGTTGCTCCTCTTTATTATCTATTAATCTACAACGGCCCTAATACGCTGTCATACATTTCCATTGATGGAAATATGTGATGGTATTTAAAGAAAAAAAAAAAGAAAAGAAAAAAGTTGCCTCTTAACCAAAAATGAGTAGAAGTCTATTTAAAAAGAAGCCAAAATGTAGCAAAATGCAACACCAGCAGCCTTTTAGCAAAGCTAGTCACGTTACATTATGCATGTTTATGTAGCAGACAGAAAAAGTCCAAAGCTGGAATAAGCAGCAAAGGACAGAGTGTGTCTGCATTGTATTTACATTTCATAACGTTTTTATTATTTATGTCAGTTCATTTGGTAGAATTTATTTTTTGTTAGAAATAAATTCTACCAAACATCATCCAGCTAAATTAACTGAAGGTTAATGCGTAATGCTTGTTGTTTTATTCAAATGCGTCTACAACAATAACCAGCACACTGAAATGTACTAAATAGGCCAAAAAAAATCTAAAAATGAAAAAGGTTTATGTATTATGTACCTGATCCCTCTACTTGCTTTTTAACTTCCTCTTTGCATTCGTCAAACTTCACCTTGAACTTCTGAGCGTCTGTTGAAGGAAAATGCAGGTTGTCAGCTGGAGCAAACAGAAACAGCCTTCTTTAAATACTGAACACTACTCACTTTCTGCGTTTAAGAAGCGGATCGCCAGGAGTTCTGGTTTGGGACATTCGTCAGCGTAGTCTGCTAGTGTGTTCCACACCCATGCTCTGTCGCTGCCGGAGTTGGGCTTCAGCTCCATCAGCGGGCTGACTGCAGGTTACAGGAAGGTCAGACTGTTACAAAGGGAGAAGCGGCTGGATGTGCGTCTACTTGAGGACAACACCGCTTCGCAGTTTATGAGGGCTGTTGATTTAAATCGATGCGAAATGTTAGTTCAGTCCAGCAGAACCGCCTAAATGTGCTAGAACATTATTTACTTTACCTTTTCTCTCTGGCTAACAAGTAGGGGGTGAGAATTTATTGCATTATCTTGATAAATTTTGTATCACGATTATTTTTGATTTATCTTTGTCATGACAAATTCCAATTAATGGTGTTTAAAATCCCCCATTACTGGCCTTACTGTTGGGGATTGTTAGTTCTACTATTTTCTCCACTGTTTGTTCAATAAAAGCATCAATAAATATCAATATATTTGAAAACACTGCTAGCAACTTGCAGCTTGGTGATACAAATCACACTTCTTTATGCGACTGGTGTCCGAAGGAACCACATTGGAAATGGGAATGTTTCCAAGAGTGAGATCTGTGTTTGTGGGGCTCTGAATGCTGTGGCACATGGTCACAGTCACACCTAAAAAGACATTACCTTAAAAAAAAAAAAAAAAACCCTGCTAACAGTAATGACGAATTACACCAGGTTTATAGATGGTACACTGAAGTGGACGTGAGGGAGTGTGAACCAATTGCACCGTCTCTGCACCTGGCTGTTGGCTTCACGTGATATTATTTTAAAATGATGATGCCTCCTCGTGCACCTCCAAATTTTGTAACCTAACATTTTTAACACAGAAACACGGCGGGCCACTGGTGAACCACCCAACATCGCCCCTGACACCGGGCTTAGCAGGTTTTCTGGGGGAAACCCTGAATAGATCATGATGGAGTGTTGTGGCACCTGAAACATTTTTTTTTCTGTTTTAACTGGGAAATATTCCAGTGATACCAAGTTAGACAGCATTTGGGAAGCTGACTCACTCTGATGATTGGCACAGATCTTCAAAGTTCGGTCTCTCCTCATCAGGAGGCGGATCGTGCCCTTCTCTTTGTGTTTCAGCAGCTTCACGTCCCCCGTCCCCCTCTCTTTCCACTCTGGAGGGTCGTTCTCAGAGGCAAAGCGATACAGTTTGGCTCGCCTGGGTAGACAGCAACACTTTGTTTCAAAGATGCAGACACAATTGAAGTGACAGTCTGGTAAAGAGTTTTTTTTTTTTTTTGTCTTTGGAACAACTGCTTCTTTGACTTATGCTACACTTAAATATCAACCACATATTGAGAGGATATGCGTTACCTTCTGGAATCTAAACAAAACTTGGATTTTAAAATATCTAATCAACAAATTGCTGTGCATTTTCAGCCAATAAGATATAAACTGAGATGTGAAAACTTAGGTGGCAAAAACTTACATTTTAAAGAGCACCTCTTCGTCCTCTTCTAATGTTTTAACATCCTGCTCAGGAAGAGACACAATGGGCTCAAAGTGGGGATCATGATTAGTGTCCTCGGCTCCGTCTCCAGGGGTTTCATGGTCTTCCTGGTCCTTTAGGGAAAAAAGTGAAATTAGTTTCTCCAATAACAATGAAAAGAAGCGCCCTGTCTAAGCAAACCCCTATAATCTGGGGTGTGCATTATGGATTAAAATAATCTAAAACAAAGTGATTTCAGTGAAGGCACTAACGGGCGATGGTTCAATGGAGGGGGGGGGGGGATTATATGTGTAGCTTTAGCAACAGAGGGAATAGACAAAGCCTTTTGTACATGACTGCTGCTGCTGACCCCAGCTTACTGAATACCATTTGGCTTTATGTGATTAAAAAAAAAAAAAAAAAAAATTAAGGAAAATAACCTCATAACTCTTTATGAAGTACCCAAAACAAAGATTTTCAAATTATTGCAACTTTAAAAGCTGAATTTTTTTAAAAATAACATGAAGGTTTTATCCCAGCTTGAAGACACAGCTGTTGGTTTAGCTAGTGGGTAATAAATATGGAGCTAGAGATTGTTGTGATCTCATTTAAATTTGACGCCAGCCAACAAATTGCTGTTTCACTTTAATTTTCTGTCAACTTGTAAAGTTACCCGGCTTATTAAAGAGGCCTCCACCTTAGCAGGCTAACAGCTAATTGCTAAAAACCATTAGCCTATTTAGACACTCCCTATCACATCTAAGGCAAGTGGTAACTTGCATATAATGACATAAACATTAAGTGAAGTCAGACTCTCGTACAACGTTACGCCAAAATACAACAGCAAACGGAGTTTCTTTCTTCAGCGCCCAGCCATTGATGCTAACACTAGCAAGCTAACGTTAGCTACCATAATAAGCAGACAAAGGTATGTAACGCTACTGTACCCGTTATTTTTGTGCGGCACACTGACTCGGTTCAGTTAGCTGGCAAAAATAATAATATTCATATATTATAGCAAAGTGTATTCACTGCTCAATGATGCTCGTGAGTAGAGTAAGGAGGCTAACATGCTGACTGGCTGCACACTTCACAGGACTTCTTCGAGCTCGTAAACCTCAACTCTAAAGCGACATGTTAAAGAAAATCAAGCGTCTCATGTGTTGCTTAGCACTTCTTACGATTCTACATGAAACTAAATAGATTCTCCTTATGTATTATATCTGAAAAATCCTCCCAAACATATTTTCTACAGTTAAATGGCATACTTGTTGGCTTCTCTTTTTCCTTGCCCAGGTTTGTCAAATTTCCGCAACAAAATTTAACTACCATCAAAAAATTCTGGCTTTAAATTAAAGCGTATTTATTAACTAACCTAAAAAGCCTGCCCTTACCTTCGTGTCTGCCATAGTAAAGCAGATGTTAACAGATTATAGAAGTTGTGTGAGAGGTTCAAATCCCAAACTGGCCGCCCTTTGCGTTCAGCTGCTCCCACTTCCTGCTGGAGCTTCGCGCGCCGAATTCTCTGCGCATGACTGCGCGCCCAGCATGACAGCGCGCGAGGGAGCAGCCTCTTTCTCCTCAGACATAGGAAACTCTGATTTTATTTCACAAAAACATTATAGGGTGAAGGAATAATTAAAACGTCTCATCAACACTTTGCAAATAATTGACTTTACTTTCAGAAATTAAACGAATCAAAAGCTAATTGTGTGGCACGACTTAAATAAATTTTTTCTAGAAGTTGGATAATTTCTTGAGAGACTGCAGCCATTCAAAGCAGCTGTCAGTTTTGCCTTTAACAAAAAAAGAAAGAAAAGAAAATTAATTCAAATGTGTTTAAATACTCGCAGCAAACCATTTGCATTTTCTAGTTGAACCTCTAACTTCTTACCTATTCCGAGTTTGGGATTCAAACCACGTTTCACACAGTTGGATGGGAGACAAAAAGTAAAAGCCATAAAATCACTTCAATCTGAATTTTATAATTGAACTGTGTACTATGAAGTGAAGGGTGGAGCCAGGAGACTGTTGGATTCAAAAACAATACTTAAATAACTTAGCATTGTCCTAAATCTTAAAATCTTTTCTCAAATCATATTTGAGCATGTGCATTCAAGACTTTGTTTCTTGCTCCTGTTGGGGTGCTGTCAAATGAAAAGAGTAAATTATATGACACCAAATTTGGGTGCTATCCTTTGCTGTAAGGTAAAAACCCAGTAGCAATAAAGTATGAAATAAATTGAATCTAACGAGTGCTATTTTCTTTCAAAAATGATGGGAGATCTGCTCAAAATGTTGTGCTTGCCATGAAATTATTTTTTTCCCCTTGAAGCTTAGTTGTGCCGCTACTAGATTTACATCTTTAAAAGTTCCTCTTTAGTCTTGTTAAAAGTCAAATACACATGTTTTTGCAGTTCTCTTACGTCTTTCGCACAGGTCTCATTCTGCAGTCTGTCTCTATCTTTGTACGAATGCAAAAGCGACACTATCGCTTTAAGAAACTCACCGTTGACGCTGCACGTGGTCGGACCAACATGGCGACGCCCTGGTCAGCTTAGGTGGAAGAGAAATCGACGTTACATCTGGAGGTAAGGCGCGTGGAAACCATCCACTGAATATTAATGGGACTCTCTGTTGACGTTGATGCCGTTGAACATGAGCTGGGAAGTTCTGAATGTTCAGAAATGCTCTCCTCTGAACAATATGTAACTTATGTGTTTATCTAAACATTATAATCTAACTCAAGTGATGAAGATGTATTTAAGAGCCTCGGACAACCAACACTCCTTTAGAAATCCTTATATTAACATTGGGCAACTGTGAAAAACTAAAAGGTTACTGCTACATTGAAATTGGTGTGATTAATTTCATTTGCTAAAACCGATAAGCACCACTAGACTGTTTACAATGTTTGTTTTTAACTTTCATGTGCCTTATGATTGTGTTATGACAGCCAAAAGAGTGATGGCGGATCTGAGTGGTGTTGCAGCGTTAGAGGCTGCATCCTCAAAGGAGGAGAAACCTGGCGATGATCTCACTCAACTCTCCAAAACTGATGCCTCCAAGCCTGATCCTCCAGCTGAAGGCAGCGAGGCCACCTCCGACACCAACATGTACCGTTACATCAAAGAAGACCTCTTCACCTCAGAGATCTACAAAGTGGAGATCAGGAACCTGCCCAAGTTCGTCGGATTCAACGACCTGAAGAAGTTCCTGGCCAAGCACGGCCTAAACCCACACAAGATCAAGCTCTTTGGCAAGCAGACGTTCGCCTTCGTTACTTTTAAGAACGAGGAGGAGCGTGACAAGGCCATGAAGATGGTGCACGGCATGCAGTGGAAGGGCCAGGTCCTGAGCGTCAGGCTGGCCAAACCCAAAGCGGACCCCATCCTGAGGAAAAGGAAGCAAGGGGAGGAAGAGGGGCAGCCAGCGTCCAAGAGAACAGAGATGGGTGATGAGGAGGAAGAGGAGCCGCTCAGCGTTCAGATAGCCAACGCCGTGACTCCTCTGTGGAATGTGCCTTACGAGGAGCAGCTGAGGATCAAGGAGCAGGAGGTGGTGGAGATTCTGCAGAGACTGGCCAAGTAGGTGGCCCCCTTCATCTTTATCCATATCAGATGAATTGTTTATTGCGTTCATGCTCTGTACGATTCACTGCGACTGACCCATCATGTTCTGGTCTTCAGGGAGATAGGCGGCACCAACAAGGCCATGTTGCCGTGGCTCTTTGCACAGAAAGGAAAATTCAACAAAATGTGTTGCCCTCTCGAAGCAATTCGACCTTCTCCAACACAGGTATTTAACCCACATTCCAATATTTAACTATTTAAAAGACTGCGTAAGCCTAAGCTACAAACCTAGGCTTGTAGCTTAGGTTTGTAAAAGAGGATCTGTACTTCCTTCAGGTCTTTTAGAAATTAAGTGTTGGTGGTGAAATGTCTAAACCAGTTTCATTCAAAGAGTCTTGTACAATATGTAAACGTTTCTGCTCGTGTTTCTGGGTCTCGGTTAGACGGAGTACAGGAACAAGTGTGAGTTCCTCATCTCAGTGGGGGCTGACGGGGAGGATAAGACCATCGGCTTCCGCCTGGGGAAGTACAAAGGAGGCTCGTGCGCCGTGGTGGGACCCGCGGAGACATGCCACGTGTCCGCCGAGGCCAAGAGGGTGGTCCACGAGTTCCAGAAGTTTATCAGGTGCTTCCATCACTGAATACCACCAATCTCCACAGGATGCTGTCTTTTCAAATTTTCGGAAAAAATGATTGTAGGAGTTCTTATTCCAAGCTTGGAAAATGTCAGTAGCTTGTCGTTTCATGTATTTTTTCTCTCTAACTTTGGAAACAGGACTACCAAGTACTCTGTGTACAGTCCTGAGACGTACGAAGGCCACTGGAAGCAGCTAACCGTACGCACTACGAGGACCAAGCAAGCTATGGCGATCATCTTCTTCAACCCGCAGGTGAAGACATATCGTCAGTTTAGCTGCATGTCATTTACTGTTGATTTCTTCCCTTGTGAAGCCCGCTCTATATTCTCACAGAAACTTGAAGAGGAGGAGCTCAGCGCCCTGAAAAACTCCATGAAGACGTATTTTCTTGAAGGAGAGGGTAAAGAGAGTGGCATTACCTCCCTGCACTTTGTCCGAGAGGGTCAAAGGTGAGGAAGATGAGCTTGAATCAGTCCCCAGAATGATCTGGAGTTAATTACACGTTTTCGGCTTTATTTTAAGGACATCTCCCAACCTAGAGGACCTGCCCTGCGAGCTCGTGGCCGGAGAGAGCTGCATTCATGAGGAGCTGCTCGGCCTGAAGTTCAGGATATCCCCGCACTCCTTCTTTCAGGCAAGCAGGAGATACATGGCCACTTGTTAACAGAATCTCACTAGAAAAAAATTCTAATTGATCTTGTAAAAACCTCATTTAGGTTACTGTTATGGAATAATATCAATGACAGATACAGTGGTGGCCATGTTTATGGTCATGAATGGCAAATGTGTGCTAAACGCCTTAAATCCCCAGAACCAGAACCAAACACGGAGAAGCAGCGTTGAGTTTTTATGCTCCTCTAATCTGGAACAAACTTCCAGAAAACTGCAAAACTGCCGAAACAGAGTTCCTTTAAACCAAGGCAAAAACCTCCACTTTTTTAGAGTTCCCTTTGACTCATAATAACTGGAACACTGATCCAATATATTTGATGGATATATTTTGATGATGGCGTTTGACAAAATGTACTGTATTGTGTTTTCATGACGTAAAACTCTTTGATATGCCTTGTTGCTGAGATGTGCTATACAAATAAACTTGACTCAAAATAATTTATTTTATTGCAGTAGCACATCAGAGATTTTTTTTTAATTCTCCAAGCAAGTCCACAGCATGACAGATCCTCCACCGTATGCATAATGTCTTTTCCCAGATATCAGTCTCTTTTGTTTTACACAGGTATTCCTACAGACTCTGATGTTGTTTTGCTCAGTCTCATTCTAGATCCAACACATTTATGTTTGTGATGGCAGAATTAGCATCATTCTCATACTTAACAGATGTGCACAAGGCGACTGTACACATATTCATTCTTTTTGAGTATTTGTACTTGAAGATGAGTGCTGTGTGTTTCTTTTCAGGTGAACACAGGGGCTGCCGAGGTGCTGTACTCGGCCGTGGGGGAATGGGCTCAGCTCGACCAAGACAGCACGGTGCTGGACGTTTGCTGTGGGACGGGAACCATCGGCCTCTCACTCGCTAAAGTGATTTTTGTGTTTTTTACGTAATGACAACAACCATGTAGGCAGTATAAACGTCTTCAGAATAAACTGGATTATTGCTTAAATATCTAAAGTTTGTCCAGGCTATATTGAACACATCCTACTGTTGTGGAAGATATCAGCAACTGCATGTTGAAGAAAGTTCATGGAGTTTCTAACCTTTTTGTTTTCTAGAGAGTTAAAAAGGTGATCGGCATCGAGCTCTGTCAGGAAGCGGTGGAGGACGCCAAAATGAACGCCAAGCGTAACGGTACGGCAGCTGTTTCCTCACGTGGACACGAACATGAAGTCACGTTTTTATTTATTTATTTTTTTTTGCATGTGAAGATCTCAGTAATGTCGAGTTTCACTGCGGAAAAGCCGAGGACGTGTTCCCCAATATCCTGAACGCTCTGGTGTCCCCCAACGTCACTGCCATCGTGGATCCACCGAGGGCGGGCCTGCGTGAGTAGATAACCCGGAGAAATGCGAGATCCGGTTGGTTTGAAGAGCGGTGATGAGTTTGTTTGTTTTTGTTTTTTTTTTTGTAATTAACTAGACACCAAGGTCATCCTCGCCATCAGGAGAGCGGAACACCTGAAGAGGCTGGTTTACGTGGCGTGCAACGCCAAGGCGGCCATGACCAACTTTATCGAGTGAGGACTTTTAGCTTGTTTCACCCATGGGAAAAATTATTTTCCATTTTAAATAGAAGCCTCACAGGGTTTTCTGAAGTGTTTAAAATAACATACCCAAATCAAATCAGCCATTTCAAATTAAAATTAAAGCTAACACTTGGGAGACTCCATCAGAAGTGTAACTACAGCAGCTGCTTTAGTTTCAGAAAACAGATGCAACATAAAATAATTTGGATTTTTGCCAGCATTTTTCCTTTTCATTATAGAATATATGAACTTTTTAGAAATATAAATAAGGCTGCAAACTTTTAGAAACCATAGATGCAGACTTGGTAAAATGAAGCAAATTTCAAGGTTTTAGTAAAACAAAAATTACAAAACTGGGGATTTACTGTTTTTACATACTAAACTTAAACTTACTTTTAAATGTCTAAAACTGTTAGATTTTTTAAAATTCAATTCTAATAAAATAAACTGCTATATTTCACTCAAATTGAAATGTATTTTTTTTTTATCTAGTGTAAAAGAAAATGTAGTCACCTTTTACAAAAAAATAAAAAAAATTTAAAACCACCAACATATATTCTTTTTGGCACTACCAGACCTCCCTACAATGCCTTTTTGATGAAGGTTCCTGGTTGCTGGCATTTGTCCCACTGCCTTTGGGCATCTAGTCAAGAGCTTGACGTTTCCTTGGATACCAAATGTATCTTACTTTTTACAGGTTAAATCTGCTCCCGGTATTGGGTGGAGTGGGTTTTTTTCTTGGGTCACTTTGATTAGACCTTGGCATTCTTTTACCCAGCCCATGTCTAGATGGTGCTCAAACTATCATAAAAGGAAAGCATATGATTTCTCAAATTAATGGTCAATGTTTTTGTCTTCCTCAGCTTGTGCAGAGCTCCCTCCAACAGAGTTCACGGCGCCCCGTTCCGTCCGGTGCGAGCGATGGCCGTGGATCTGTTTCCACAGACCAAGCATGTGGAGATTCTTCTCCTGTTTGAAAGAGTGGACTACAACTCCCAGCAGACTTAGCATCGACCAGAAACAGATCAGCTGAACTTTAGCGCTTTCCATTTTCTAAATGTATACACACTTAACGAGCTTAGTAATTTTTTCCCTTTTTTTTTTTGGTAACAAAACAAAGTCTTGAGAGTTTTGGTTTGATACGCAGCATTTCTGGTAAAGAACTTGCACAAACTGTGTACATGAAGAATAAAGACAGTTCTCTACCTCTGTGTGGCTGAATAAACCAAAGCGCCTCTAGATGTCAGTAAAGACATTTTTATTTTGCATAACAAACATCACTGAAGTCAAGAGTTCAGGTTGCAACAGTTTCTAGGCAGCAACTTTTTCAAACATTTTATTGATACAACTCCACATAAAACCAGTATATTATTTCTCTCCTCACACCACGACTTGGGGAGTCAAGACGCGTACAGATGAGGGGGAGGGGAAGAAAAAAAACAACAAAAACACATTCTTGAAGCAATCTACACAATCACAAGAGCACTGCTGAAACATATGCCTCCTAAAATAGTTTTTTTTTTGTAGAAAAAGCACAGCAGTTTGTATTCATTTTTGCTCCAGCTCGTGCCACAGTTAAGCCTTTTTTTTTTCCTGCAACATGTAGCTTTCTAGAAAATGCATAAGACTGGATGTAAGCTTTGGTATACACTGTTCCTCCCAACTTTTACAAGGCTGCCTTCAGAGTTTATTTTTACTATATAGCTAGCATGATCTACTGTAAGGATGATGGCAAACGTACAAAGTACACACCAATTAAGACAACTCTGAAAGCCCGTCTCAACTCGAAACGTACCAAATGCCTAAGGAGTAAATGCCTTATCAAGTAAATGGGGGTTGGTCTTTCCACTTCCTGTTGAAGGGCGTTTTAGGTCCGACCTCTTTAGAGTCTAAGCCCTTCATGAAATGAATTAACTAAGGCAACGTGTAGCTGACTTTGTTTTTTTAAAATGGAAAAAAAAAAGAAAGAAAGAAAACAGTCTGAAATTAGCAGTAGTGTAGATTAAAAAGCTAATTGTTAAAGAAATGTCAAAGCTAGCGGTACTTCCAACCCTGGATCGGGTTTACTGCGACTGTAACTGTGTCCTACTCAAAACATCACGTCCCCACAAACGGTTATTCTCCGAACGACAGCATGATGAGCGAAAAGTAAAATCCAATCAGACGAGAGTGCATGGTGACGGTTTTTTCCCCAAACGGTCACTTCATGATGCATGTCATGCAAACGAACACGCCGACTTCTCAGATTGATTAACAAAAATGGTATGCTTTTTTTTAATTATTATTATTCCTCTATCCTTAAAATATACATTTTAAGGATCCATAAACTGATTTTTTTCCAATTAATTGACTGGTATAAATACGAGCATTAGTAGTCCCTTTTGAAAACTTCAAGCACTTAAAAGAAACAAAAAAAACAACAAAAAAACAAACCAAATGCGAGCACTAAAAGACTGACTTTTAAAAATAACACTGACAATAAAACCAATGTTTGGATTGGCTTTTTTTTTTTTTTAACAGTTAAAAGCATGCATTTCTCTTCTGATGTAATTCATATTCTTGTTGGTTAGGACGCATCTAGAGAGGTAGACTGTTTTTCTTTTCTTCCCCCAAATCTCTAGGCCCTGCTCAGTGCGCTCAGTCCTAACCCTCACACTCTTTCTTGCTCAACCTTTCAGACGGAGCCGTGGGAAGCGAGCGGCGGCTCCGCCGGTCTGATCAGTGTGACGCTACGCTCCTCGCCGGATGTCAAGTGATGCGTTCTGTTGTGGACGCCATGATGCGGTGTGATGTTTGACAGTGACTGGGGTTTCAGTGCCGTGGTTCGTCAGTGATTCCGAGACTTAAACGTCGACAGTGCAGAGGGGCTCGCTGCCCGGCTGGGCCGACTCCATTATGGTCATCTTGGGCTTCTTCCTGGTTTCCTCCTGATGTGGAAAGAAGAGCAAGCAACCACAACGGATGAATAAACACATTTAGAATGGGACCAACGTTATAGAATTACAGCTATATGCCTTCAAATATAGAGGTTAGGGCTGAATCGATTAATCGTGACAAATCGATTATTCAAATGATTGTTAATGAATTTAGTAATCGATTAATCGTTAACTGGCGTACACCGACTCAACAAAGGCCGCTTGCAGGAAAAAAAAAAGCATATACATCTTGCATTTTTCGTCTTAAAACATGTTTTACCCAGAATTCCACATGGCATAGTTTTAGCTTAACCTTGTTCATTTTCACTAAAAGAATCCTGTTATTGCTCTTAGGGCAAGGAAATAATTTGCTTAATAAAGGAGTTTGTTTATTTTCATTAGTTTAAAGCATTTCTAATATTACATTAAAAAGTTTAAGTGGTGAAATAAAAGATCTGCCTATTTACTTAAAAATCAGATAATAATGGATAGAATAATCCATTATTAGAATAATTACTAGCCCTGATGGAATGGGGAATAATTGTACACTGTGAGCAGAGAATAAAATGTATTCTGATAGGAATTAGTAATTCTGTCATTAACTAGGAGAATATTGGCCAAATACATTCGATTAGAACTTCTTTTTTTTTTTTTTTTTTTTTTTTTTGTTTATAGAGAAATTGTGTTTCAGAAGCTCAGAAAGGAAGCAGGCTTTGATTCATGGTCAAAATAATTGCTAATAAAAAAAATAGATTTTTAGACACATTTCAATAAATGCAACCAATATTGTGATCAATTACATAAAAAAATCCAAGGACTCCTGTACTACCACGTTTCTGCACTTTGTTTCTACATCCAGTTATGAAGCTGATCTAGAAAATATGGCCAGTTTGGAGAAAAAGGGTGTGTGTGTGTGTGTGTGTGTTCAGACTGCCTTCCTGTTGAGTCCGAGACTCAGGAACTAACAAAGCTACGATTATTTTCTTCTGCTCCGTACAGAGAAATACAGATCAGAAGAACTAAACACCAAACGTGTAGCAACACACGGGACGTCATCGACTCTCACCCGCTGAGCTGCCAGTTTCTTCATCTCCTCCTGTAGTTTGTTCAAGATGTGAAGGTTTGGCTTATTCTTTTTGGCGTACTGCTGCAGCTCTATCACGCTCTTGTCTGAACTCTCCTGAGAAAAGATTGTTTTGTGCAAATTGATGCACAGAGCCTTACGTGAGCCATGCATTCAGCTCTACACATCTGGAAAAAGTGGCAGAAACAGTGAGGCGTGCAGATCTTCACCTTTTTGACCATCTTGTTGCTTTCTCTGCCGTACATGCGCAGCAGCGAGCCCCAGTTCTTCACATGGGGGTGAAGCATCTGGAGGATCTTCTGGGACGCTAGCTGTTTGCCGACCCTCTTGTTTTTGCCTGGTTGGGAAAGAAAACCAAGAAACAAAACTATTCTTGAAAACTCTGCATGCGTGGTTCTGCAAGGTAAGGAAGGGAAAAAAAAGCCGTAGGTTGACGAGACTTAGAATTTGGTTCTACTTACACCAGCCTCGCACCGTGTGTTTCCCACACGTCATGACATATTCGCTCTTCTGGTTCTTTCCTGGGATCACCTCAAATTTAATGCTGGTGTCCCCCATTCCATGGTTTCTGAGACAAAAAAAACATTTATTTATCGAGGTCATTTTTAACTTTGCCACACACAAGTAAAAAAAAATGCTGAAAAAAACATAACAAAAAAGCAACAAAGAGATCACACTAGTACAGAAAGAGATAAATATTTACATTTCTGTCAATGGCAAGAACACAAAGTGTATACCGAGAAAGGGATAACTTATAATACTTTCACCTTTTCTTTTTATACATACAGCACCGTCAGAGTCAAAATAGCTGGATCTTTCCTGTACAATTTTTGAAAACATCTCCAAGGAATTCCAGCCAAGTCTAATCAACATAATTAAACCTTACTGCACTTGTTTAACAATTATTTCTAATATTTGTCCTGACCTTTATTAAAATAAAAACCTCTTGGCTTTGTCAGTGCTACTCTGAGCTCTACTGAATCATAACATTTTAAAGTACGCAGTGCAAGAAATATTTCATTAGTTGGATGAAAATCGGACGCAGTTACATATTGTCACCTTCCTAAATAACTTTTAGAAAGAAAGAGGTGGTGATTTCATTTACCTATTTTTTTTTTTGTCAAAAAAAAAAAAAGAGAAAAGAAAAGATTAGTCCATTATTTTTTGGAGGAAAGTGATATGAAACCTGTCAGTCACAGTGGAATACTACTGTTGGTGTTACAGAAAAAGTTCCTAATCAAGGATAAGAGCTCTTTTTAGCCGCAAGCTTTATAGCTGTTCTCGACAGTAACAGACTCCCATATAAACTGTTTTCCTCCCAGTAACCTGGAAAAAAAAATAAAAAACCCAATCTAATTTACCTTTTAAGGCACTCATGAAGAATCTGATATGGCGAAAGTAGACCTGCTTTGTTGGTCAACTCGTACACTCGTGAGTCTTCTATACTGATATGATTAAAATACTGCAGGACAGAACAGCAGAGGAGAGAAAGTTATTTCTGTGTTAACGATTCAAAGGTTCCTATAGTGGGTGCGGCGTACCTCCAGCTCGTCGCCCTCGACGGGTTTCTCCTCCGAGGTCTGCTTCACAAAGTCAGGGATGAGGATTTCCAGTGTGGCTCGGGCTGAAGAGAGTAACAAGCGAGTTCAGTTCTGTTACATGTTAGCTAGCAAAAGCCCTCGTTCCACTGTGCAATGTTAACTTGCAAACACATGGAAATGAAAAAATTAAAGAAGTTAAACAGGGGTCCATCACAGTTTCTTTTAAAAAACGAAACAAAGGAAGAAATATTTTCCAGGTTCACATTTCTATTTTGTTTCCTTGCATCTTTTAAACTCGTCTGTCGAATAAGGATTGCTAGGCTTAATACATTTTTGAACAAAATAAAAAAAAGGGAAGAAGCAGCAGCAGGTAACACTGTCTGTGTTATTAATTCCCCTGATTTCATTTGAAGTTCACCAGTTCATCCTACAAAATTAGTCCCAAAGTTGTGAAATGTCCCTTTTTATGATTCTTGAACGCACATGCACTCAGTCCGGATAAACTGTTTCAAAATAAAAGATTAAAAACATCATTTAAATATAAAAGTATTTATATTTGGGGCTGAGCATTTATTGTTTCGTTTATTGAGATAAATTTCTTATCACTGTAAGATTTTGATTCATTACTGTCACAATAAATTTCAATTGATAACATCTGAAACTGT